TCCCCCTATAATTTTTTTTCATCTCTTTTATCCCCCTTGCCTTATACAAAAACTTGCATGCTCTTGCCAATCCTGGACCTTTCCTTTTTCCCTACATTTATTAAATAATTGCACCAAACCCCTCCAAAATATATCCCCACCGCTTTTAACATTTTATCTTTATCCCATCAATCCCCGGGTGCCTTACCCCCCTTTTATTTTTACCTACTGCCTCACGAATTCCCCCACATCACAACTGGGTCTTCCCACTCCCACAAGGTTATTCCTCTTGCCCCATACCGAAATCACAGCTTCCCCATCTTTTCAACATTTAAAAATTTCCTAAAAATTCCTTCATTTCCCCTCCTCAACCTCCATTTAATAACTTCCCCCTCCTATTTTTTAATGAAAATCCATTTTTTCTCTAGCTTTCTTTAAATTGTAAACTCCTCCAAAACTTTTTCTTATTTTTAACAAAATTTGTTTATAACATTCCCCACTCTTCATTTGCTCTCTTTTTACATTGCTTCACCACTCTCTTAACTTCTCTCTTTTTTTCCATATATTTCCCCCTTGCATACTTTACTTTGTAAAACTTCTCAATATGCTAACTTTTCTCCTTATACTCTCTTTCTCATCATTCCCCCAAAATCGCTCTCTTCCTCCTGCCCCACTTTCCTGTTAACCACAAACTTCTGCTAACACTTAACACTACATTTTTAAACCACCCCTACCTCTTCGACCCATTGCCTATGCTTTTCATTAGGCCCATCCTATCTCCAATAGTGTTATATCTTACCCTAACTGCCTCCCTTTTAGTTTTATAAACTTCACCTTCTTTTTCCCTGTGCTTCATTTCTCCTTGTATCCATCTACCTTTTACCTTTAGTGTACAACTGAAATGATCTAATATCTGTGGCCCTCTAATAAACATGTACATTTCCCGAAGTCTACCACGTTTTTATTACCAATACATAATCCCACAAACTACTGTATTTCGCCCTACACTATCGTGTATACTTATTTATCCTCTTTTCTTAAAATATGTATTCCTATAACTAAACCCTTTCTATACAAGTTCAATCAAAGGGCTCCCATATCATTTACACCTGGACCCCAAACTACCTACCACCCTCTCTAAAAGTTTCTCTACTTTTCATTTAAGTCCCCTACCACAATTACTCCTCCCCTTGGTTCAAAGGCTCCTATACATTCACTTAACATCTCCCCAAAATCTCTTCTCTCCTCTGCATTTTTCTTCTCAGGGGCATCACGCTTATTATGACCCATTCTCGCATCCAACCTTTCTTTAATCCACATAATTCTTGAATTTTACACATTCTATTCTTTTTCTCTTCCATAAAATGATATTAACATTACTGCTACCCCTTCCTTTGCTCTAACCTCTCCGAACTCAGATTTAATCCCATTTTTTTCCCCCACTGAAACTCTTCCCAACCCCCCTTTAAGCCTTTGTTTCGTTAGGGCCAGGACATCCAACTTCTTTTCATTCATAACATCAGCAATATTGTTTTGTCAAACAAACTGGCCGATCCCACCAAGGCAGGGGGGCCCGAAAAAAAAAAACTTTCACCATCATTCACTCCATCACTGTCTTGCCAGAAGGGTGCTTTACACTACATTTTTTAAACTGCAACATTAACACCCCCTTCAGTGTGCGGGCCTGTCTTCCCATCTCCAGGACTCAAGTCCGGCCTCCCCGGTTTTTTCCCTGAACCCTTCAAAAATTTTACTTTGCTCACACTCCAACAGCACGTCAAGTATTAAAAACCATTTGTCTCTTGACGTGCTGTTGGAGTGTGAGCAAAGTAAAAAATTTATGAAGGGGTTCAGGGAAACCAGGCCGGACTTGGTCCGGAGATGGGAATCAGTGCCTGCACTGAAGGAGGGGGTTAATGTGCATGCAAAAAAATAAAATAAAATTAAAAAAATATATATATATATATATATATATATATAAAAAAACAAACACACACCACAACACACGCACCACACACCACACCACACACACACACACACACACCACACCAAAACACACACACACACACACACAAACACACACATACACATACCAAAACAGCAGTGCATGTCTTGAAGTTGCCAAAGTGTAATAGGGGGTAGCAAGATATCCCCGTTATTTAGCATGTTTATGAAACAGAAAAAGAAACCAGCAATCCTACCATCATGCAAAACAGTTACAGGTTTCTGTTTCACAGTCATCTGGCAGGACGGTAGTACTTCCCTGGGTGGTTGCTGTCTACCAACCTACTACCTACATGAATATGATATGAGAAATTTTTTCCTGGGTAGAGGCATTTATGACAAATAGGCAACAAAGAGTTTGCATAAATGGGGAGAAATCAGAATGGGGCACGTCACAAGTGGTGTTCCACAGGGGTCAGTGTTGGGCCCCTTGTTCACAATTTACATAAACGATATAGATGAGGGAATAAATAGTGACATAGCAAATTTGCTGATGACACCAAAATAGGCCATCCAATTCATTCTATTGAGGACATTACTGCACTCCAGGATGATTTGAATAGACTGATGCAGTGGTCGGAGAAGTGGCAGATGCAGTTTAACCCGTAAATGGTCCAAACGTATATATACGTTTTTTCAACATTTGAAAGTATGTAAAAAAGTAGATTTTTTTTTTTTTTTTACATTTGAAAATGTGTAAAAAACTTTGATTTCCTTTTTTTTTTTTTTTGTTTTTGAAAATATGTCAAAAAAACGTAGATCTACTTTTGGAGCACTACACATGTGAACGTAGATCTGCTTGGACGGTTTATGGGTTAATATAGACAAATGCAAAGTTCTAAATGTTGGACAGGACAGTAACCATGCCACTTGTAAATTGAATAGTGTAGATCTTAATACTACTGATTGCAAAATGGATTTAGGAGTTCTGGTTACCAGTAATCTGAAACCAAGACAACAGTGCATAAGTGTTTGCAATAAAACTAATAGAATTCTTGGCTTCATATCAAGAAGTATAAATAATAGAAGTCCTCAGGTTGTTCTTCAACTCTATATATCCTTGGTTAGGCCTCATTTAGATTATGCTGCACAGTTCTGGTAACCATATTACAGAATGGATATAAATCCTCTGGAAAACATACAGAGGAGGATGACAAAACTGATCGCATGTTTCAAAAATCTTCCCTATGAGGACAGACTGAGGGCCCTGAATCTTCACTCTCTAGAAAGGCGTAGAATTAGGGGGGATGTGTTTGAGGTATATAAATGGAAAACAGGAATAAATAAAGGGGATGTAAATAGCGTGCTGAAAATATCCAACCAAGACAGACTCTCAGCACTGGTTTCAAGTTGGAAAAGTTCAGATTCAGGAAGGACATAGGAAAGTATTGGTTTGGTAATAGAGTTGTGGATGAGTGGAACAAACTCCCAAGTACTGCCATAGAAGCTGAGACCTTGTGTAGTTTTAAAAATAGGCTGGATAAATACATGAGTGGGTGTGAGTTGGACCTGACTAGCTTGTGCTACCAGGTCTGGTGCCGTGCTCCTTCCTTAAGTGGAGGTGGCCTGACTAGGTGGTCATTGTTCTAGGCCGTGGGGTGGCATGGACCTGCTTCGCATGAGTCAGTAGGTCTGTTGCAGTGTTCCTTCTTTCTTATGTTTTTATCACACACAGCTTCAAACAACTGTAATGCATTTCTTGTAATTAAGATGAAACTAAGTGTTGCACCTTTCTTTGTGTTTTGTTAAGATAAGATAAGATAAGATTTCGTTCGGATTTTTAACCCAGGAGGGTTAGCCACCCAGGATAACCCAAGAAAGTCAGTGCGTCATCGAGGACTGTCTTAACTTATTTCCATTGGGGTCCTTAATCTTGTCCCCCAGGATGCGACCCACACCAGTCGACTAACACCCAGGTACCTATTTGCTGCTAGGTGAACAGGACAACAGGTGTAAGGAAATGTGTCGAAATGTTTCCACCCGCCGGGAATCGAACCCGGGCCCTCCGTGTGTGAAGCGGGAGCTTTATCCACCAGGCCACCGGACTCCACTCAAGCAATAAGTTTTTTGTTTTATTAACCAATTGCAGTATACGAGTCATTCTTTTCAGATGACAACCTGGGTTATTCATTACACAAACCTTTATATTTGCCTCATTCTGTTTAATTATACAAACTGATGCTTCATGAAGGCTATAGGCTCTTGCTATATCCACCACACATGAGCAGCTCTTAAGCTTGTCTAATATCTCAGTTTTCTTTGTAACTCCAAAACTTAAATGCTTAAACCTTTTCTTGCCACTTTCAACAACACTTGTATGCCTACTGGGTACCATGATTGCTTGGCATTTGCAAGATATGGCAATTATATGATCAAAACACAATTCATGAACACAGCTGTCTCCTAGGAGAGAGTTGTACTGGAGGTACCATGGAGAAATAACAATAGTTGGTATGGTCTGTTGGCTCCTGCCATGTCATTGGCACAGCAAAAAGCATTCCTTTCCTCTTCCTGTTCAACAACTGGCGAAGGTTAGTAGCACAATTGTTGCAACGTGTGTGGAGCCTAGTTCTTAACCTGGTCACCAATCTTGCATCCAAAATATAGGTGATGTGCCTTTCTAACCATAGCAGTTATATGGTGCTTCTGTGATGCAAAGTTTACCTCACCACAAATGTAGCAGAAGTTGTCTGTTCTATTCATGCAGACCCATTCTCTCACACGTAGGCCTACCAGCTTTCTCCTGTTAGATTTGAAGGCGCTAGAATTTTGGCGTAGTATTACGGCTCTCAAGCCATAGTACTACAGGACCAACACTGCAAGGGGTAATACTGGTGAAGGGCTCTTCATTTTAGGAATTGGAGCTACTCTCCCCTTGGATAAAACATGACTGCCTGCCATTTCCTAGGCACTGTATGGCTTTTATGAGTTCACTCTTTCATTATATTTATATTAATTATACCATAATTAATAGCAATAATAATAATGTACATTTATTTTTGCCTTTCATATTTCAGGGTTTGGATTGTGTGACAGCTTCAATTGGTGTATCTCAAACATATAACCTCAGTGTGGAGGCGAGCTACAGGACATTGTGGAAACTTTGTAATTATATTATGAATCAGAATATTATAGTAGTGGTGGGGGAGGTCGAATCCGACTCTGAGACAATACTGGAAACATCAGAATCTGGAACTCTTGTTTTTAAAAATGTATCATGTCAGGTGAATTTTGAATGCACCAGCAAGGCATCAATACCAATAATATTTAGTACCATCTTTTCTTCAGTTAATGAATCTTGTACGCAGACTGACATCCCTACTAAAAGTAATGTTAGTGTATCTGTTGATGTAAATGACTTTATCCCTCCTTTGCCTCTTAATAATGTCACTAAAATCAAGACAGAAAAGTTACCCAAGATAACAGAGACAGAAAAGGAGTCTCTCCTTGAGCAGACCATTGAAGATGTGATCCTTGGCGTTAACCCAGATGAAGAGAACTGCAGCACTGATCAGCCCAGGAAGCCCGAACGCACTGAGAGACTGTGCAGTGAAGCTGTTCTCTTCCCATTCTCAAGAGAGGGTCAGTGACTTTCTAAATTATTTGACTATCTAAAATATTTGAAAAAATGATACACAAGTGAATGCATGAATTCATAACAAAACAATATTCTCGACCCTGTCATTTTTTGCCTTAGGCCAAACAAAAATTGGAGTACAATTGCTTAAATAAAAATACAGATTCAGTTTACACATCTATAGAAAACAATGAATATCTAATAGGCCTCCTTATTGATCTAAGACATCTCTTTTTATACTTTTAAAAATCCTACTATATAATCTATGTCTAATTCTTAAGTAGTTTTTAACCCTTTTGAGGTCTGTTCTATAATATTACAGCTTTGTGCTAAGGGTCTGTGCCATAGTTTTACTTAAACCAAGACAGCAGTGCCTAAGCGTACGTAATAGGGCAAATAGATTACTGGGATTTATATCAAGAAGTGTAAGCAACAGAAGTCCAGAGGTCATACTGCAGCTTTATACATCATTAGTAAGGCCTCACCTAGATAATGCAGCTCAATTCTGGTCTCCATATTACAGAATGGACATAAATTCGTTAGAAAACATTCAGCGTAGGATGACTAAATTAATATATAGCATTCAAATTCAAAGTTTATTCTCTATAAAGATTACAATGTTGAATTTACAGAATTTGGTTGTTGTGTGGTTTACATGTAGTTAAATAATGATTACAGAGTATACCACTAGAACGCCTAGCATGGCTAGGCATTTCGGGCAGACTTAGTTTAATTCTTTATTTTAAAATATTACAAATTATGAAGTAAGTTGGTATTATGGCTAAGTAACTAAATACTAGTTTGTGAGTTTAGCAATGTGAATGCTTTTGTTTTGGCACAGTACATAGTTTCAGTATTGGAGTATCATAGGATTCATTATTTTAAGATTGAGATTAATATTTCTGTTTATGGTCAAATGGGTGAGTGAGTGTAAGTGTGAACCACCAGGTGGTATTCATGTAGTTAGTTGATGGGGTTTATCAGGGAGATAAGATGTTTTCTAATGGTAGTTTTGAAGGTGATGAATGTGTCTGCAGTTCTAGAGTTCTCAGGTAGGGTGTTCCAGATTTTAGGGCCTTTGACATACATTGAATTTTTGTAAAGGTTTAGTCGGACATGGGGAATGTCGTAGAGATGTTTGTGTCTGGTGTTATGCCTGTGGGTTCTGTCACAACTATCAAGAAAGCATTTTAGGTCAAGGTTGATATTGGAGTTTAAGGTCCTGTAGATGTAGACTGCACAGTAGTAAGTGTGGATGTACTGAACAGGGAGTAAGTTTAGATCTATGAAGAGTGGGGGGGTGTGTTGCCAGGGATGGGATTTAGTGATTATTCTTACTGCAGCTTTTTGTTGGGTTATTATTGGCTTTAGGTGTGTTGCTGCAGTTGATCCCTAAGCACAAATAGCATAGGTGAGGTATGGATAAATAAGTGAGTGGCATAGTGTGAGAAGGGCATCTTGCGGCACGTAGTATCGTATCTTGGAGAGGATCCCAACTGTTTTGGATACTTTTTTTGGTTATGTGTTGGATATGGGTGCTGAAATTCAGGTTGTTGTCAAGGTATAGGCCTAGAATTTGCCCTCATTATGTCTGGTAATTAGAGTGTTGTCGATCTTAATGTTAATTTGTGCATCTCCTGCTCTGCTACCAAACATAATATAGTAGGTTTTGTCAGTGTTAAGCGTAAGTTTATTGGCTGTCATCCAAGTCGATATTTTGATCAGCTCCTCGTTAACAATGGTGTTGAGGGTGGCAAGATTAGGGTGAGAGATGACATAAGTCGTGTCGTCAGCAAAGAGAATGGGTTTCAGGTGTTGGGATACGTTTGGAAGATCATTGATGTATATGAGGAAGAGCAGGGGACCAAGGACACTTCCCTGCAGAACTCCAGTATCAAGTGGCCGTGTTGTTGATGCTGTGTCTTTAATGGTAACATACTGATACCTATTAGTAAGGTAAGATTTTAAATAAGCAAGCGCATGGCCTCTTATACCGTAATGGTCAAGTTTGTGGAGTAGGATGTCGTGGTCTACTTTGTCAAAATTTTTTCGTAGGTCAATAAAAATTCCTAGTGGATATTCCTTATTTTCCAATGCTGTGTAAAGCATATCTAGCATTTTTATGATTGCATCATTAGTGCTTTTATTTTTCCTAAATCCAAATTGGCAGGGGTTGAGTATGTTTTGTGCTGTTATAAATGAATAGTCTCCTGTGCACGAGTTTCTCAAAGATTTTGGATAGCAATGGTAAGTTTGATATTGGCCTATAGTTGTTTAAGTCTGTAGGATCACCACCTTTATGTATTGGAGTAACCCTTGCCATCTTGAGTAGTTTTGGGAAGGTGCTAGTTTCTAGTGACTTGTTAAAAAGTAATGAAATAGCATGCGAAAGGATATGGGCCGCTCGCTTGTACAGTAATGGTGGGACATTAGACAGATTCCCTGAGTTGTTTTTAAGTGACTTTATAATCTTGGTGACTTCCGAGGGCTCAGTTGGTGCAAGATAGAAGGAATTTGGGAAATTCCCATGTAGGTAGTCCCTGGCATGGGCATTAGTATGTGGGATTTTATTGGCGAGATTAGATCCTATGGTTGAGAAGAAGTCGTTTATCTTGTTAGCTGTGTCAGTGGGATGTAGTGGTGTTTCATTAGGTTTAGTTAGGACAATATTCTTGTTTTTTTCAGTTTGTGGGTCCCTAGAATCTGAGAGAGTGTTTTCCAGGTCTTTTTTTATATCTCCTCTAGTGTCTGTGAATCTACTGGAGTAGTATAGTTGTTTGGCTTTCTTTATTACTTTGGTGAGAACTGATGAATAGTGTTTAAGAATATCTTTGTGTATTAAGCCCTGTCTATATTGCTTTTCATATTGGTGTTTCTTGTCAATGGATTTCAGAATGGTGCTGGTTAGCCATGGGCAACCAAGCCGTTTGTTTGTGATCTGTTTCATTTTTATAGGACAATGTTTGTTGTATAGTCTAAGTAATTTGTTAAGAAAAATGTCTGTCCAGTCATCAATACCATTGGCCTTGGAGAATTCTGTAGGCCAGTCATCAATCTCTAGGTCAGTTGTGAACTTCCTTATTGAGGCCTCGTCATGGAGTCTAAATGAGACTTTGTTGTATTCAAGTGGTTTATTAATGTTTGTCAGGAGGAAGGTAGGGTAGTGGTCTGTAGTGCTATCTGTGATTATCCCTGATTTAAGGGGGGCTAGTATATTGGTCCATACGTGGTCTATTATGGTTGCACTTGTCTCAGTGAGCCTGGTTGGTTTAGTTATTGTTGGTATGAGAAGTGTGTTTTTCATATTGTTGATGAAATCAGTTACAGGCTGATCATCTAGTAAGCCAAGGTTGATGTTGAAGTCTCCAGCTAAGAGAAGGTGGTGCTTATTCATTTGTCTGTTTGTTATTAGTGACTTTAATTTCTCACTGAAATTTGGGATGTTTGTGTGAGGTATCCGGTAAATGGCACCGATTGTTATAGGTGTCTTAAGGTTTTTTACAGTAAAATTAGCAAAAATGTATTCCCCATATTCATCACTAAAGCAAGTGGTGCTAATACAAGATAACTTGGTATGGTCTGCAGTTGTGAATTGCTGTGTATCCTGGTAGAGGGTAGATATCTATTGTGTCCTGCTTAAGCCAGGTCTCAGTAAGAACAATGCAGGAGAAGGGTGTCTTTAGTGATTCAAGGAGTGCCAGGAGGTCATCATAGTGTTTGCTTAAGGACCTGATGTTGTAGTTAAGTACTGATATTCTTTTTGCATTGTTTAGGATAGTGCTGGCTTGTGATGCTGTGTAATAAAGGCAGTTACTTTCCAATAGGTTTTGATTGGGTGTCAGATTATGGAGGTTTAAATCAGGGTCAACATGATCAATCATCTTCTAGGTTTAAATTATGGTTATTTATATCCTGAGTTATGTGTTGAGTTCTAGTACTGATAACTGTAGTGGTGGAAGCTTGGATAAGTATATAGCTAGAGTATTTTGGTCATATAGAGTATAGTCACTACTACACATAATGAAGTTGATGTTGTCTATGTGTTGTGCTGGAATGAACTAAAGTACAACTAGGTATAAATTAGTAATATAAAAATACAAATTTAAATTAGAACAAGACTCTCACTTGTAATTGCACTAAGGTCTAATATAATGACTTTTGTGGAGTCTATGTTTTGAGCTAGAATGAGCTATAGTACAACTAGATTTAATCTAATAATATAAAAATATAAATTAAAAATAGCACCAGTCTCTCACTAGTAATTGCAATATGGTCTAATATAATGAATTTGGTATTGACTATAGTACAACTGAGTTTAATCTAATAATATAAAAAAGGCACAAGACTCTCAATTGTAATTGCACTAAGGTGTTATATAAGTTGTTTACAAGAATTAGAGTATAACTAGATTTAAATTGACAAGATAAAATATACAAGTTAAGGTAGCAAAAGAATAAAAAAAAGTAGAAAAAAACAAAAACAAAAAAAAGATACATGAGGTAGTTGGTACTAGTTAGCAAAAGATAGTTAAGGGCCTTGAACAATAATATAATTGAAATATACACTAATTGCACACACAATATAGTCACTAAGATATGAAAACAATCTTAGAGTAGGAATTATAATATAAACTTATAATATAAAAATACAAATTGAAAAAGGTACTTGCAATTGCACTAGAGTCTGGTATAGGTTGTTTGACAAGATCAAGAGTATAACCCAGATTTCAAATTGACAAAATAAAATTCCATTAAAGTACCCAAAAGAATAATAGTATAAAATTACAATGGTATAGTCTTGGTTATATAATAGATTGTAAATGGTAGACAGGTACACAAGTTACACAGGGACAAAGGGAAAAATATAAAGGTTGAGTTGGATTATACAAACTGATAATTTGGCACAACAAAAAATAGTTAATGGGAAGTATAAAATAATGTTTTAAGTTACAAAAGTAAAATTGACTGGTAGTAAATATGGTGTTTAATAAAATTTTAGCAAGTAA